GGGCCGTCTTCCTTTTGGATGAGGTGGGGTTGCGGGCGGCCAGGAAAGATGCGAGGAAAGTAGGTGCTCTTGGGTCAAAGCTTCGTATTGGATATCGCAGTCAAATTATTTTGAAAATATTTTGTGATTGGCAAAGCCTTTTTTTTTGGGGGGGGGGGCTAAACCTAAAAGTAGAGAGGTCGTGAGCGAAAGTCGAGTTGCTTTTATTATTATGAAAATCAAATTGATATCAGGTATTTAGCTCCTATTGTATGTCCTCTATCTGTTACAATCGAGGACCCTTTAAAATCACGGGGAAAACGTTATTTAATGACCGTTTGGCCCATGACTAGCCTTGCTTCTCAGCTGCAAGACGAAGCTGATTATGGTCAGTCGGCGTCTTGTAATTGCAGGAAATTTCTCGGCCATTGCAGCCGTGGGGATGGCTGCGGCGATAGTGGTCACGGCTGTTTAAGCAGCTTGTGAGAGAGGTTACGCGGTCTTGGCCAAGTGGCGGCGATAAAAGCAGAGCAGGAGCGTGAAGAGAAAACGTTCTTGTGCATGGGCAGCGATGTGAGCGTGGGTTAAGCTGCAGCATCTGTATCGACACAGCGAGAAAGAGTGTGCTCGCCATTTCTTTCCGACTTGCCACCCGCGGCTTAGCATCGTCCGCCATTCGGAAACCAAAAACTTTCTTCGTAAAACCAGCCTGCTCTCGCATCTCTCTAAATGGAGCTAGAATGTGGGTCCAGTATATGGCGCATTGCTTGGGCTTTGGCTGGTAGTAATTTTGGTAGCGAGGGGGAGTGGGAAAGGTAAAGTGGGAGAAATGGAAAAGACAAATAAAAAGAGAAAAATAAAAAAGAGCGAAAAAGAGAAAAATAAAAAAGAGCGAAAGAGAGAAAAATAACAAAGAGCGAAAAAGAAAAGGAAAAGGAGCGGAGGAGAGAAGGAGAGATTGGGGGTGAGGCACACAAACACAGTGGCAATACTAATGGAACGGTGTCCAGTTAATGTGGAGTTATGATTGTCGTTTTGTAGTTGGATTAAGTCGGAGAAGGGCATGGTTAGGGTTAGGACAAGGGTTTCGTTGAGCTGGGGTTATGGGGGATAATTTGCCCAGATAACGGGGACGTGTAAAAGCATTAAGGGATTTAGGGAGCGGAGCCATCGCTGTACCCAAAAGGAACTTAAAGGGAGCCCCTCTTACCCCCCCCCCCTTGTGTTGTGGCTCCTGAGATTGTTATCTTGTGTTGTGGTTGCCTCGGGCACGCATCGGCTGAAGGCGCTGAAGATGGGGCTGATAGTGTTCGTTTGTGTGGGGTTGTGAGAGAGAGTCTTTGTGTGTCTTTGTGAAGTAACTTCGCTTGCATATGTATGCGTGCAAGCATTTGGTGTGTAACCATGTGCGTGTGCTTGCGGTTTCGTTACAACCTTGAGTTCGTGCCCAGGTCAGACAGGAAAGTGGATTCGGGAACAACAGTCAACTCAAATAAGGCACATTTAGTGGTTTCCTGTGTGTTTGAGTCACCATTACTGTGAAAGACTCGTGGATTGATATTCTTGAAAGGTTTAAGATGAAAACAACGAAATGGAAATTTGTGGGACTTTGTTTTGAGACTCGACGCCGGTGAAGGGGTGACCTTGCCGGGAAGGTCCACGCTGTCGGCACGTCTAGTAGGTCGTGTGATGCGTGACGTGTTGTCAGGAGTAACCAAGAGTGAGTGAGCAGAACCGAGGGCGATGAAACAAAGACAAGGAAATGGCTGTTAATAAATTAGAAGAAAAAGGAATAGGAGTGGGGGTAGAATTACATTATTTAGGTATATTTTCGTTATAAAGGATAATTATAAAATGACGGGCTAAGGACAGACAAGGACGCTGATCCGCCATATGCCTTTTGCCTCTTTGGTTCATCTCTTGTCACTCGTACATGTCCTGGACATGCACGGGCTTAGTCCCTACTCATACACTTGCCTAGTCCTTCAACATGCAGGTGCTCAGTCCCTGTGCATGCACGTGCTGAAGCAAACACGAGGCTGTTATATTTGTGCACATTTCCTTTACATCAGTCGCGCACCAGATGAACGGATGTTCTTATATTCTCCCCGGACAATGAACCCAATAGAGCAGTCAGTAAAAACACTGCTCGTAATGCGCAAATCGTTCCCTGATTGGGCGGGGAGTCGTGCATGCGGATGACACTGTTTTTAAGTATCTCGGTCGAAACCAGGATTAGAATTCCGGCGGAAGTGGTAGCTGAAGTCAGGGGCATGGTCAGGTAAGTGGCGCGGAGCAGGTGGGGGGATGGCGAGGGGCTCTCCTCAGATGATAGGAGGGGGAGGGGGAATCAAGACTTTAGTGCTTTATTGCTGAACTTTTATGTGGGTCGTTGGCAGGATAATGCAGTTTTCGTGCACTGGAACATACATAAGATCAGGATCCCGATTTTTACGAGGATAGTACTATTTTAGATGCAATGATCGGAAGCTCTCAATGTTGCTTAAAGGAGTGATTGATGAATTAATGGGAGAGATGTCCGATGGGTTTATGGGTTGTAGTGACGCCCAGCTCGCGGGGCTGTGGAGGCGGCCGTAGCGGGAGGGGTCAGCGGCCACAGACGGAAGTTGTGGCTGCTGGCGGTGCTCTGATGGCTGCCGCCGCCGCCGATCCTCATGTAGCCTCGCGTAGGATCACGGAACATGGCCAGGACGTCCTTCTCAGCGCAGAACAACACAGTAGTATTAATAGCAGTTCGGTCGTGCCTTCGTTCCGCCGACCTCGCCTTCCTTCGATTGCGTGATCTGTCTCTTCCCAACGAGCGGGTGTGTTAATACTCCAGCTACGGTTGCCGAGGCCTGTGTGTGGGGGTAATTTCCTAGCCGTGGAGATATCATTTGTATTTTTTCGAAATTCTAACCTTTGGTAGCAAAGGGACACAAATCGCTTCAATCGATAGCAGTGCAAGTAAAGTTAATACATCTCCGGAAAGATTAAACTTCAAATTGGCAGAAATAAAATCAATCTCAAATCACCCTTCTGTTCCCGTGTTTATCCTTTGTGTGTTCAGTCTCCAGGTGTTGTTCAAGCTCGACTGTCGCTCTTGCCTGTTCAATTGGCCATTTATGTAAGTTGCAGATACTGTTCCCGAGCGCGTGTAGCCTCCTTCTTCCGAACACCGAAGTCGGGAGGGAATAATGGCGTCGGTATTTCCTCCGGTCACAGGAAGTTCATAAGTAGCGCTAATCGGGATTTTTCCCTGAACCAAACAACCTTGAAGTTTCCTTGCGAGCAGAGGCTTTTACCCGCTAAACTTTCGATCTGCTGTGTCTAGCAGCTGTCGAATCTGCTCATTCTTTTTTATGTCTGGTCTCCTGCTGTTTATTGAATCGGTTTTATTTTGGTCTCGTATAAGTGTTATGTTTTATGGGGCGGCGACGCATGCTAAAAAAAGTCTGTTGACTCGTCTTCTGTATGATCCAGATTAAGAAAAGTCGCTGCCCAGCTAGCCAGAAGCAATGGCTTCCTGTACGGCCAGTGTATAACCGCCCTACAGTCGGGCTAATTTCTTTTATTGGTCCAATATAGTGATATCTGTAACCTTTATAACTTTATCATTCGAATCGGTCTTATCTGTGCCATTTCCCTTATTTATGTGAGATCGTTGAATTTATTTTTTAGTTTGATTTCACTATTACTACACAAGTTTATAATCATCATCGTCATTATCATTAACTCCGAGAGATACGACAACGTCAATGATAATTCCTGCTACTAATTACTAATTATCCCTGGTACCATAATAACTACGAATGTTAATGTTAATGAGGGGTCCATGATTTATCGCCACTCGACGCCATACAATTGAAAAAGAAAGCGAAGTTCGAAGTTAGTCCTAAGGATGAGTTAGTCCTTTGTTTCTCATAGTTGAATGTTCACGGTTTATTAACAATCACGCTGGAGCTCTGTGGTGGCCATGTTGCAACAACCCCCTCCCCCCTCCCCCCCACACACACATATACACGCAGCTGTTGCCTGTCTCACATGTAGCGTTACAGATCGGCTGGTTTGAGGAAATAAGGTCGATGTTGTGCGTTCTATTTTCGTGTGCTTATTTTCCCTATGGGAGATTATTAATGTTATTATTATTATTATTATTATTGTTGTTGTTTTTGTTATTGTTATTGTTTTGTTGTTGTTGTTATTATTATTACTACTACTACTATTATTATTATTATTATTATTATTATTATTATTATTATTATTATTATTATTATTATTATTATTATTATTATTATTATTATTATTATTATCATTATTATTATTATCATTATTAGCTTTACTATTATTAATATTGTTATTATTGTTATTATTATTATTATTGTTGTTGTTGTTGTTGTTTTGTTGTCATTGTTTTATAATGATAATAATAATATTGTTGTAATTTTTATTATTATTATTATTATTATTATTATTATTGTTGTTGTTGTTGTTGTTTTTCTTCTTCCTCTTCTTCTTCTTCTTCTTCTTCTTATTATTATTATTATTATTGTTAATTAGTGTTACTGTTGCAAATAAAATATTTTTCAAATATGCTTCGTTATCTTTGAGATTTATAAAGTGGCGAATGATTTGATAAATGAAGCCTATGTCTGTCTCTGTATCTGTCGATCAGTGTGAATGTCAATATTTTGTCGGCCAGTCACCCAGTGATTTTATCATGTATGCATTTTTAGATGCATGTATGTAAATGTACATATATACCTGAACATATAAATGTATGTGTGAACTAATATCTGGCTCTATTTCGGCATTTACGTTTGTATCTGTATTTATAACTTAATCATTTGTCATTATATGTATCTATATGTGACTTCCTACCCGTTTCCTTTTCTGCATTATTCGAAGCTACATTTGTGAAATTAATCAAACATTAATTGTTTCTTAAAATGTGTCGGATTTTTTGTTTTTTGTTCGTAATGGGTTGCGATTACTGATTTCTTTTTCTCTCTTTATTCCAG